GTGCAATAGTATAATTATTCCTGTAACTGGGAGAAAGATTGTGACATGGGGAGAGAACTATAGTTCAGTATAGTGAATTCTTACATGTACTGACATTGGTGATGTGTGGTCCACGGGAAGGGGGGGGATTTTGATCCTACGTTATACAGCCTGCAAAAAAACAGCGCACCAAGGGGTGATCCACCAAAGAAAAAACATGTTTAATGTATGATGCCAGAGAACTCTACTCTCCCAGGTTGGCAAAATACTGGCTTGCGGCACATAAGTGTGTCTGCGTTTTGTGAGAAAAGACAGCTGTGAAAGTCATCCCTAGCTGCCTGTGTGTGTAATGCCATCTGACATCATGACACTGAGTTGTATGTATCCATTCAGAGTTGATGGGAAGTCTGTACTGTGCTCTGGAAAATTTCCCTAATGCCCATTTTGGTTCTTAGAAGCACAGTAGCCACGTTCTTTGCAAGTAAATGAACTGTTTACATCTTCCTGAATTCTCAGGGTGCAGAGACTGGCAACTTCATGCAGACATAAATTAATATAGAATAAGAATACACATACAGAACACCAGTGTGTAGCTATGCGTTTGTTCAGATATAGGCTTTATGTGTTCTTGTCTGTAGGTGCTATAGCCATATGAACAGCAGTCTGCCTGACTGTTTACAGGTATAAAAAACAAAGTATTCCCAAACTTAGCTCATCAGTAATGACATTTTTTTTGATTACATAGAAAATTAAAATACACAGATTTGGAAAATGCTACATCATGTTCATTCATGTTAATATAGATCAGTGTACACATATAACATCCGCCTAGTATGATATTTAACATTTAACATTCTACCTATGTCCTATATGATCATGCTTTGATTCGCTTTTGCCCTCTTTATATTAGCTGGAAGGGACACACTATACTGTGTATATATATGCATGTCAATGGATCACATCCATGTGTAGTTAAAGTGGTATTAAATGCAAAACCAAAAATGTAATACAGTGGTCTCCAAACTGCAGCTCGTGGGCTGGATGTGGCCCTTTGCTTGCTTTTAATCCGTCCCCCCACTGTCAGCAACAGTGGGACACTATTCCTCTCACTGACACCAATGATTGGTCATTATCCCCCCCCCCCAATTTTAAAGATGAGGCATTATTCCTCCCATTGACACAGATGGGGCACTATTCCTCCCACTGACACAGATGAGGCACTATTCTTCTCATTGACACAGATGGGGCACTATTCCTCCCACTGACACAGATGGGGCACTATTCTTCTCATTGACACAGATGAGGCACTATTCTTCTCATTGACACAGATAGGGCACTATTCTTCTCTTTGACACAGATGGGGCACTATTCTTCTCATTGACACAGATGGGACACTATTCCTCCCATTGACACAGATGGGGCACTATTCTTTTCATTACACAGATGGGGCACTTTTCCTCCCATGACACAGATGGGCACTATTCTATGACAAAGATCATTATTCCTCCCATTGACACAGATGGGGCACTATTCCTCCCATGACACAGATGGGGCACACAGATGGGGCACTATTCCCATCCAGACTGACACACTGATGATGGGCACTATTCTTCTCATTGACACAGATGGAGCACTATTCTTCTCATTGACACAGATGGGGCACTATTCCTCCCATTGACACAGATGGGGCACTATTCCTCCCATTGACACAGATGGGGCACTATTCCTCCCATTGACACAGATGGGGCACTATTCTTCTCATTGACACAGACGGGACACTATTCTTCCCATGACACAGATGGGGCACTGTTCCTCCCATGACACAGATAAGGTACTTTTCCTCCCATTGACACAGATGGGGCACTATTCCTCGCATTGACACAGATGGGGCACTATTTTTCCCATTGACACAGATGGGGCACTATTTTTCCCATTGACACAGATGGGGCACTATTTTTCCCCATTGACACAGATGAGGCATTATTCCTCCCATTGACACAGATGAGGCACTATTACTCCCATTGACAGAGGTGGGGCACTATTCCTCCCATTGACACAGATGAGGCACTATTTCTGACACTGACACCAACCATGGGGAACTATTCCTCCCCCTACTACCAAAGAGGGGACACAATTTACTCCCACTGACACCAGGATATTTTCTACTCCCACTGGCCACATTCCGGTCCCCCTAAAGTTTGGGAGGGCAGTAAACTGGCCCTATGTTTAGAAAGTTTGGAGACCCCCGATGTAATATATTGCAGCTTACCAATCATTAGATGTGGTGGCTTTATTAGTTTTCTTTTCTTTGGCTTTTTTCCTTGTTTTCACCTGGTGATCTGGCCAGTAACACACCTCCTGTATTAAAGTGCCCCCAATCTGGAGGAATAAGCATAGGAGGCACAGCAGACAGCAGCATAGTCGGGAGGGGGGGGGGGGGGGGAGTTTTAAATGTATTAGCAGAATTGAATACAAATAACACATTTTTAGGTTTTAAATGCTGGAGAGTTTGTGCAGATGAAAATAGAAGAAAAAGACATTCTAAAAAAGGAAACAAATGCAGCCATCACATCTAAGAATTGGTAAGCTGCAATATGATAAATGTTTGCTTTTGTATTTAATACCGCTTTAAACCCAAAATAATGTAGTATATTGTAGCTTACCAATCACGTGGTGGCTGCATTCGTTTTTTGTTTTTTTTAATCTTTTTCCCTCTGTTTTCACCTGGTGATCTGACCAGTAACACACCTCCTGTATTAGAGTACCCCCACTCTGGATGAAAGAGCACGGGGGGCACAGCAGACAGCAGCATTGTCAGTCTGAGGGGAGGGGTATGTTAGATGGACTAGCAGATTTAGATACTGTACACTAAAAATTGAAGCCAAACTCCAGCTCACACTGCAGTTACACAAACAGTAACAGCAGCAGTTTGTTTTCTTTTGGAATTAAGGTTTTACATGTAAAAATGTAATTGTAAAAACCCGGGTTAGTGGTAAATGGTTTGTCTCAACCCTCTGACTGCCACATTTGCAGGATTGTTTATTCTGTTGAAAAATAATAGACTTACTGATTGGATCGCCAGATGAAAATAAAAGAAAGAACTCCTAAAAAAGAAAACAATTGCACATATCACATATAAGAATTGGTAAGCTGCAATATAATAAATGTTTGCTTTTGGGTTTAATACTGCTGCTTTAATGGCTGTGAAACCTCAAAACATTTTATGTAAGCTGACTTAAAGGAGAAGTACAGCTACAGCTTGTTTGGCTGTACTTCTCTTATGGATCACAGGAGTGCAGTTTGTTCAGCATTATTGTGACCTGTTTTCAGCTGACAGCCACTAACAGTCACTGATCTCTGCTCAGAACGGCAGGGAGAACTGAGCGATCAGGTAAGTATAATTGAAAAAAAAAAATCACTTTAAAATGTAAATGTTTATTTAAATGTTAAAGATCAATGTGAGCTAATCTATTTTACACCTTCTACTGTCCATATACTTAAACTAGGAGTAAACTCCCTTGGTTTCATTTTACCCATAGGTAAGCCTGTAATAAGACTTACCTATAGGTACGGTAAATAACACTTAACCACTTCCTGTCCGGACACTTTCACCCCCTTCCTGTCCAGGCCAATTTTCAGCTTTCAGCATTATCACACTTTGAATGACAATTGCGCGGTCATGCAACACTGTACCCATATGAATTTTTTAGCATTTATTTGAGACAGATAAAGCTTCATTTTAGTGGTATTTATTCACCACTGGGATTTTTATTTTTTTTTCTATGTAAATGAAAAAGTCCAAAAATTTTGAAAAAAAAAGTTTTTCTTATAAAATTTTGCAAATAAATAATATTTCATCATAAATCTTGGCCAAAATGTATTCCGTTATCTTTTTAGTAAAAAAAAAAAAAAAATAACACAAATTAGTTTATAACCAAAAATTATAATTTTTTAAATTTTTTTTTTTACTTTTTTTTATATTATTATTATTTTTTTTTTTAAATACTGTCACCCTGGCAGTACAGTGTCACCATGGTGACACTGTACTACTTGTGGGGTGTGATGAAGATTTTTTTTTTTTACACTGATTGCTTTTACACCCATAATGGCTGTAAAAGCAATCATTTCTCCTTCTCTCTAGCTGCATTCTTACAGCCATTGAGAACTACTGAGTGAGCTGTGATTGGTCACAGCTTGTCACATGGTACAAGGCTGTTGTGAATAGCCTTGTACCATGTGACCTCTGTGATCGTTCACAGATTTCACACATAGTAAGCAATGATGTCACAAGTGACATCTTGCCTACTACTCTGCATGTGATCACTGATTGGCCAATCAGTGATCACATGGTCAGGACCTCACACAGAGGTCCCGTCCGGCGATCGGTGTTCCACTGTGTCCAGAGGACACAGCGGGCACTGGATCGCGGGGCTGCGCGCTCTGAGTGAGCGCGCACAACTAGAAAATGCGGGTGCCGTTTATGAACAGCAACCCGCCCCTAGAGTGACACCGTCCTGCCATTTAAAAACAGTAGGCAGACGGCAAGTGGTTAAACGTTCACCGTTTAGGAGATATTCAATCTGGCAGCAGTGGGTGACGTCCTAGGCGCATGTGCTCTGAAGGAATAGCATACCCGTGCCGTTCCTTCAGAGCCCTGTGCCGCGCGCATGTGTGGGAGTGATGTAATTGCGGCTCAGCCATTCCTACCGCCGAAGCCCGCGAACCCGGAAAGCTTCGTTTTCAGATAAGTCTGTTATAATGTGCTAGTATGTGGTGCACAGTAGCACATTATGACTTAAACTGCACGGGGCCTGATTTTTTATTTTTTGCTGTGGTTTACTGCTGCTTTTACCACTTCCCGCCTGCCATATAGTCCAATGTCGGGCACAAGGGGGTTGTCTCATTCTGGGAAGACGTCATATGATGTCCTCCCATTCTCACCACGCATGCGCAGCTCAGGGAGCATGCAGCGCGGCGATCAACGGTGCGCTGTGTCCCTCGGACACAGCGGATCACCGATCTACGGAAAGAGCCGAAGATGTCGGCTCGATCATGTGATCAGCTGTGTCCAATCACAGCTGATCACATGTAAACAGGGAAATGCCGGTTATCACGCTGACAGCTCGAGAGGAGAGGAGAGCCAGTAATCAGCATTCTGTGGAGGGGACATGTACACTGATCATCAGGGCACTGATGATCAGTGTGCCCTGACGATCAGTGTGGCCCCTGAAGTGCCACCAGTCAGTGTCCATCAGTGCCAGCTGTCAGTGCTAAACAGTGCCACGTGCCAGTGCCCATCAGTGCCACATCAATGCCACATATCAGTGCCTACCAGTGCACATCAATACCACATATCAGTGCCCATCTGAGCTGCCTTTCAGTGTCACCCATCAGTGCCAGTCAGTGCCACCTATCAATGCCAATCAGTGCCACCTATCAGTGCTGCCAGTCAGTGCTGCCTATCAGTGCCAGTCAGTGCCGCCTAACAGTGCCAGTTAGTGTCACCTAACAGTGCCAGTCAGTGCCGCCTATCAGTGCCAGTCAGTGCCGCCTATCAGTGCCATATATCAGTGCTGCTTTCAGTGCCCATCAGTGATGCCTGTCAATGCCCATCAGTGCAGCCTATCAGTGTCCATCAGTGCAGCCTCATTAGCGCACATCAGTGAAGGAGAAAAATCACTTATTTACAAAATTTTATAACAAAAACTAAGAAAAAACTTTTTTTTTTCAAATTTTTCAGTGGTTTTTGGTTTGTTTAAGAAAAAATAAAAACACAGAGGTGATTAAATACCACCAAAATAAAGCTCTATCTGTCACAAAAAAATGATAAAATTTCATATGGGTACAGTGTTGCATGACCGTGCAATTGTCATTCAAAGTGTTACAGCGCTGAGAGCTGGAAATTGGCCTGGGCAGGAAGGGGGTATAAGAGCCCTGTAGGCTAGCGGTTAAAGAGGAACTTCATTAGGTGTAACTGGAACATTGATCTTGTTACAATGACATCTGAAAGTGGGTGGGATGTACAAGGCAGCAAGTAAACATGTTGTCTCTGAAGTGTTCTTCTGAATGGAAGGCTAATTCAAGTGGCCATTCTGTTATTTGGGTTGACAGCAGAATCTAATTGTGTTTGCTAAAATGATGTTTTCCAACACTGCCTGTTATGTGTAGAAGTGCACTACAATAGTAAGTACAGTAAGTTACTTGTGTGTGGATTGAACAGAATTCCTAATTACAGCTGGAGAATTAGTTTTTTAGGTGATATCTAATTATGTGCCAAAATTAAACTTACACCTTCGGCATGGAATGGACTTCTACATGAATTAAATGTTTCTGCAAAATATAAAGGAAATGTGTAGTGCTTTGATTTATATACTATGTATTTAGTTATTATGTCCATAAATGTTCTAAAATATGTTATTATTTTATGTTTTGTAGCTCAAGCAACCAGTGATAGTGAGCAGAATCATTGTCATTTTCAGACTTATGTTACAGTTCTAATGTAACATTTTCATGTACTGTACACCCTGTTCCAAATTATTATGCAAATTCTATTTAAGTGTCACAAAGATTAAATATTTTGTTTTTCAGTTTAACTCATGGATGGCATTGTGTCTCAGGGCTCTTTTGATCACTGAAAACAATCTCGGACACCTGTGATTAGATTGGCAGGTGAGCCCAATTTAAGGAAAAACTTAAAGGAGGGTGTTCCACATTATTAAGCAGAGCACCATTTTTAAGCAATATGGGGAAGCAAAAGGATCTCTCTGCTGCCAAAAAGAGTGAAATAGTTCAATGCCTTGGACGAGGTATGAAAACATTAGATATTTCACAAAAACTTAAGCGTGATCATCGCACTATTAAGAGATTAGTGGCTGATTCAGAGCACAGACGGGTTCGTGCAGATAAAGGCACATTGAGGAAGATTTCTGCCAGATCCATGCATCGGATCAAGAGAGCAGCTGCTAAAATACCATTACATAGCAGCAAACAGATATTTGAAGCTGCTGGTGCCTCTGGAGTCCCACGGACATCAAGGTGTAGAGTCCTCCAGAGTCTTGCAACTGTGCATAAACCTTCTATTCAGCCACCACTAACCAATGCTCACAAGCAGAAACGGATGCATTGGGCAGAAAAATACATGAAGACTAATTTTCAAACAGTCCTGTTCACTGATGAGTGCCGGGCAACCCTGGATGGTCCAGATGGATGGAGTAGTGGATGGTTGGTGGACGGCCACTCTGTTCCAACAAGGCTGCGATGTCAGCAAGGAGGTGGTGGAGTCATGTTTTGGGCCAGAATCATGGGAACAGAGCTGGTCAGCCCCTTTAGGGTCCACGAAGGTGTAAAGATGACCTCTGCAAAGTATGTGGAGTTTATGACTGACCACTTTCTTCCCTGGTACAGAAGGAAGAACTATGCTTTCCGTAGTAAAATCATCTTCATGCATGACAATGCACCATCTCATGATGCAAAGAATACCTCTGCATAAATGGCTGCTATGGGGATAAAAGGGGAGAAAGTCACGGTGTGGCCTCCATCCTCCCCTGACCTCAATCCTATTGAGAACCCTTGGAGCATCCTCAAGAAAAAGATCTATGAGGGTGGGAGGCAGTTTACATGCAAACAGCAGCACTGGGAGGCTATTCTGACATCTTGCAAACAAATTCAAGCAGAAACTGTCCTAAAACTCACAAGTTCAATGGATGCAAGACTTGTGAAGCTGCTATCAAATAAGGGGTCCTATGTTAAAATGTAACGTGACCTTTTAAAAAGTTAAAATGTTGTTAAAAGTTTGATTGAAATAGCTTTTGATTTCAGTAAATATGCTGCAAACACAACAAATGACAATTTTCAGTTCTTTACAACCTATAAAGGGTTTTGAAACTTACTGTGCGTAATAATTTGGAACAGTGCATTGTAAGTTTTTTATGCTTAAAAAAAATACTGTTATCATTAGGAGGTTTGTTCAATAAAATTTGAATTGTACTCTTAATAGTTGATAACATGAGACTTATGCTGACTGTTATTTACATCAATTATTTAGGTAAATGAGAAAAATATCTTTTGCATAATAATTTGGAACAGGGTGTAGAACAGGAGCGATCAGATTACTTATAATGTAAATTTGAGCCAGCAGATGTGCAGGCCCTCCTTCTTCTCTCAGCAGAGACAGGACTGTTTAACCTAAAGTGGTATTAAGCCCCAAACCAAACATGTTTTATATAGCAGCTTACCAATTCTTCTGTGATGGCTGCATTCGTTTTCATTTTTATGCTTTCCTTATTTTTAACCTGTGATCTGACCAATAAGTCTGTTGTTTTTCGAACAGAACAGGCTGTCCAACAGATGTAGCAGTAAGAGGGTTGAGAGAAACCATTTACAGCAGAAAGGGGTGCGTACAATGATCAGATTTTATTAATTTATGTAACACCTTTATCCAAAAAGGAAAAAAAATGTTGCCTTAACTGCCTAATGCCCCGCGGGACACTTCTGAACGATGGAAACTGACTGCTGGAAAACGTAGGCTAAAAAACGTCTGTTTAGCTGCGTTTGCATAACGCGTTTATGTGCGTTTTTCACGTTTGCGTTTAGAAGGGTTTTTTAAAGATAAGCACAGGAGAACCTCTCAAATGCCCAGAATGCACTGAAAAGTGGTAAATTATTAACTATTTCAGACTGTTTCAGAGAAATACAGAGAGTAGAAGCAGAGAGTAGAAGCAGAGACAGCAGTATGTGTTGAGATTAACTTAGGTGTGAGTTGCTCATTAACATTTCTTTTGTTTCCAAATGTGGGAAAGGTGTCTGGTGGAATGATGAAAAAAATGCTCTGGATAGCATTGAGAACTGGAAGAGTTAAAAAAAAATGTGCAAACGCTTATAAACGTGATTTGCTGTGTTTAGCTGCGTTTACAAGCATTTTGCGTTTGAAACGCTAATAAAAGTTTGAAACGCTGATAAAGAGTTTCTGTGTCCAAAAAACGACTGTAAACTCAAATGCCTGTAAACGAAGATGTGTACATGGACACATAGGAAAACATTAGGGTGAGTTCAGGGGCTGCTGAAAAAAACGCTGAACAGCTCCTAAATGTGAGTTTATCAGCTGCAGTGTATATGAGCCCTAAAAAGTGTGAGCTGGAGTTTGGTATCAATTTGTTAGTGTATCTAAATCTGCTAGTACATCTAAGATTCCCCTCCTTCCAGATTAACAATGCTGCTGTTCAAAGAGGCCTATTTATCTCCTTCATCCAGAGTGTAGGCACTCTGATACAGGAGGTGTGTTACTGGCCAGGTCACCAGGTGAAAACAGAGGGAAACAAGCCTAAACTAATACAACCATCACATCTAATGACGGGTAAGCGGCAAAATGTTAAATATGTGGCTTGAGTTTAAGCTGGCCATAGTAAAATTTGTTAGAAAATCTCCATTTCTAGAGCTTTTGTTCGACTTCTTCACAGTTTTTCACTGTAGTGGTGCATTAATTTGAAGGGGCAGGATGGAAACTAAATAAAAAATGTTGTGAATATGGTCTTCATTCAGGAAAAACCATACATATTATTTTGAAACGTATTTAATACGTCAGGGATTCCATTTAACCACTTGCTGCCTATGCCAATTCTGACCTTTCTAACATACATGTTGAAATCTGCATTTTCTTGTTAGAAAATTACTTAGAACCCCCAAGCATTATAAATATTTTTGAAAGCAGAGACCTAGAAGAATACATTTGTGGTTGTTGCAATTTTTTTTTTATGTCAAACGATATTTGCGCAGCCATTTTTAAAATGCACATTTTCAGGTAAAAAATGCACTGAAATGAAATGGTGCACATAAACACAATATAATACCCATTTTTTTGTAAAATATAAAAGATGAAGTTATGCCGAGTAAATAAATGCCTAACATATCACGCTTTAAAACTGTACACACCCATGGAATGGCAACTACGGTAAATGAAAGTATCCGAAGGAAATGTTTAAAAAGCCTTTACAGGTTACCAGTTTAGAGTTAAAAAGGAGGACTGGTGCTAGAATTATTACTCTTACTCTGACGTTCGTGACAATACCTCACATGTGGTACGATCACTGTTGTGTACATGACCTACATACAGTATGCTTTCCCATTTGTGCGTGGGCATGTGGTGACAGGGGAGCTTTATATTTTTGTTAGTTTAATTTTTTTTATTTATTTTTTTTTTACACTTTATTTTATTATCAACTTTATTTATAGCAACATCCCTTGTGGTAGGTACATGGGCAGTGACAGGTACTCTTTACTGAGAGATCTGGAGTCTATTAGAACCCCGGATCTCTCCTCTGTCCTCAAAAGCTCCTGATCCAGCCGATAACAGCTTTTAAACAACACACCACATAGGAAACGACAAAATCTTCATTGCATTTGGTTACATTCATCAAAGAGGGCAGGTATGGAT